CCTGTATATATATATATAAATGTATATATATATATATTACGTACACAATATATATATATTATATATTTAGACCATATTAGAGTATATTAGATATTAAGGTATGCATTAGGTACAACTAATATAAATAAACCACTATTACCAGTAGACGATGTAAAAGTGTAAGTTTAGTCATCGATCAATGGATGAATCCACGATGCAATTTTAACATCGCGGAACTTCAAATCTGCTGCATCGACTTTAGGAAAAACGGAGAGAAAGAGCAAAGAGACAGAAAGAAAGTTACAATTCAGCTGAGAGCTATATGTTCACGACTCGTTTTGGTGCTTCTCCCTAGGTAAATATTATTTACTTTATATCCTTCTCGTCGTCGGCGGAGAGAACAATAATCGTTAATCAATGTCGCTACTAAATAAATAGGCCGAGAGTGTCGAAATTCGTCGTCGAAATAAAAATCGCGAGTCGTCACAAACATTTCTCGAGATTTTCCTCTCGCTGTGGAAAATGTCAAATTTTTCAGCTAATTTTCTTTCGATGTGCTAAATTGTATAAGACACCACGAAAACTTTCTTTTTCGCATAAATATTTAATCGATTACTTAATAAAAATTTCGATCAAATGATTAATAAAATTTAATATTCTATTGGAAGAGGTAAGCTGGCGTATATTCACAAATATTGATCAAACAGCATTAACCGCGTAGATGATCGTAACTGTGAAATACATCCGAAAAGCTCTAGATCTGGATATATAAATGCTTATTTTTGCTATCTTAGAGCGAGGGCTAGAACTCGTATACAAATAAATCGAAAAAATTAATATATACTTCGTGATATTCGTCGATTGATGTATCGATAATTTAACTAGTGAGTAACGTAACGAAGCCGTGCCTGGAACTTTTTGGAATCGTCCCGGGAATTTGGATGAAAAATTAAGCTGCGAACTTTCTGACACTATCGGTCTTACGGCCAAGAGATCGTCGTGTCAGTTTTCTGCGACGTTCCCGAGTCTGACCTGTGTTATAGGAGAAACTAGAGCGAAAGCATGTCGGATCAAACCTGTCTCGTAAGGTCGAAGAGAGAACTTAGACGAATTCATTAAATATTAATATTCGTACCGCGCGATTGTCCCAATGATGAAACGCTAATCCATGCGGAAACATTGGTTATTTGATAGATATTCTTGGATATTTCTTCCCACGTTTCTTAATGAATTTCTCTCGATATCGAATAATTTGCGAGGAGTATGCTCTAGGTGCTTAAAACGGAGAAGCGACTCAATAACCGTAAATTCGAGCTTACAGGTGACTCTATATAGTTAATAGCGCGGTCATGTTTTTACCAATTTTAGAGATAAATCGCATTGTGCATTGACGAATTAGTCGGTGTCTTAGCCACGAAAATAGTTCCCGCGATAGTTCGACAGAGGAGTTTGACTCTTAACTGCGTTTTTCAGCGGAAAGTAATTCCTTTAGTCTACTTTCTGTAACACTAACACATGATGATGTGATGTAAATTATTTATGTAAATTAAAAGAAAAATCATTCGCAGGAGATTAGATTATTGTAGTTTTGCAGAGAAACGCATTTAAGGATTAAATGTATTCATTTAAATCCACCATGCTTTGTGTGTTAATCAAATTCGTCTGTTATGACAATGTTGAATTGATATATGTTAATCAAGGAATTAATATAAAATGGTAATTAACAAGTATAGATTCTAAAACAAATCTGCTTCGTGTTTAAATTTATTTAAATAATTGAATAAAATGGAGTAGTTACAATTGATTAGAATGTGAAGCATAGTGGATTCGAAAACGCGGATACCAAGAGAGATATTCAATAGGTCGTCGATTTTTATGTAGAGATGCACGATACTTGACATTACAAAAAATCTTCGACGCATCCGTCGTATGCGAATAGAACGGAATCGAGGTATAGTAAGCAACAAGTGAAATGAGGTCAATTCTATCGACAAATATGATTAAGCTTAGAATACCTATGTGCGTATATCGATACCGATAGCGAATCCCGTTTGACTGAAACTTACCGCCTATGCGATAAGCGTGCATGCTGATCGACTTGAACGACTAACAATGACTAAAGTGAAGACTTGGGAGAAAAATTATTAGATAAATTTTTTTTTATTTTTAAAAACTTTATAATAATTTTTTTATTAGTATAATGTGTTAATATATCAGATTTATTTAAAAAATAATTCAACAATTTTTAAATAATGATAAAATAAAATTATGATAATCTTAGATTTTTTTTAATATAAAATTGTGAGATAAACGAAAAATTATTTGGATGTCACTGTTAGTCGAATTCAATCGTTCCGATTATTCTTAAAAGTTTATAGTGTTTTATTAAAGCGGACAGAAACATGAAATACGAGCTTTCCGTTTTGGCATAAGTGTACGAAATTACTCGTAAGTGTTCATAACGTAATTAATGTAATTAGCACTTAGGGACGGAGTTGATTTACATACAAAATACATGTGTAACACTGAGGACAAGTGGTT